CTTGTTCTCTTGCTCTTTGATCCTCCTCCTCTTTATTCTCTCTGCCTGCCAGCCCCACCTATCTTCTCTCCTGCCTTGCTATTGGCCGTTCACCTCTTTATTAGACCAGTCAGATGTTTTATACAGGCAAAGTAATGCAGCTTCACGGAGTTAAACAAATGCAACATAAAAGAATGCAACACATCTTTGCATCATTAAACAAATGTTCCACGGCATAAACACATCTTAAAATAATATTCTACAATAACCAGATACCTCCCTCCTCCTTCCCACCTGTCTCTGCACTGAAGGATCTTTAAAGTTCCAAAGAAAAAGTCTAATGCATGCGGCAGCCCTTTGACTTTCAGTGGCCTGGCCTGGGGGTGTAGGCCCTGTAATCCCAGCGACTTGGGAGGCTGAGGCCAGAAGATCTCAAGAGTGAGTTCAAGGGCAAGACTCAACAACAACAAGAACAAAATGGGGGTAAGAAGGATGCTTGTGCTACAACCCAGTGGTCGAGCACCTAGCCTGTGTGATTCTGTCGATTTGATCCCCCCCCCCCAAAAAACAAAAACAAGCCAAAACCAAAACAAGCGTTGTAGCTCTTAAGTCATAAGGGTGGATGTTCTCAGTGCCTCCTTATTTATCAGATTTCCACCCCTTTCATGCTCCTGGCCCCGAGTCCTGGATATACAGTGTGTTCTAACTTCATGATTCTTTCAATGTGTTGCCTGGTACACAATGCAACATCCAAGCCCCTTGCAACTCTCTGCCTGCGTCCCCCTCCATCCTGGTGTAGCCTGGAATCACCTGCTTCTGTAGCATGTATTACTATGTTATTCATTTAAGTTTGTCATTAACCAGTGCCTATAAACGGCATCTCCCTCATCCTCACTATGCACACCGTTGCTAAGCCACATTCCCCATATCAGTAGCTACCCATTAGACCTCAGATCTAGAGATTTCAGTTTATTTTTGAGCAGTTGCCTTCACTTCATTCTGCTGTGGGGAACTTCACTTTTGACACACGACATAGAGAAACCTCTTTACAGTGTCAGGGACAAATTGAGAATCTGTGCCACAGCAGACTCTTGAACATAAATTTCCTGTATTTTATTATTAAATGAAATTAATTTTTTTTAAGACAGGGTCTCAGCATGTACCCCTGGTTAGCCTGGAACTCGCTGAGATTCATCTGCCTTTGTCTCCCAAATGCTGGCGTTAAAGGCGTGAGCCACCACGTCTAGCTTAATTAGGTTTTTGAGACAGGATCTTACTGTATTGCCCAGGCTGGCCTTGAATTTGTAATTTGTCTCCTGACTGCTGGGATTATAGGTTGAGTCACCACACCCTGGCCACAGTAGGTTTGTGCTGGGTTGGTCTTGGGGGGATTTATTGTCGTCCTGTTTTGCCTCTGCCTTCAGTAATATTTACAGCTCACATACAAGGTTCTATTTGGATGCGTGGGGTGTGCTAGAAGAGACTAAAAATAAGTTGCTATTCACATAGGCGATTCCATCCTTTGATTGGCACCTCAAAGCTACAAGGGGCCCCAGTCTGCGTGTCCCACTCTCCTTTGTGTTTGCAAACTAAGATCATAGGGAAGAAAATTGTTCCATTACCAAGCAAATTGGTGACAGAGGCCAGCTTCACACCCAGGTCTCCTGGTGTGCACATTGACTTATTATTAGCTTTTGCTCGTATGACAAAGAGGTTTTCCGCTTTCTACATCAATGTAGGCTTTTGCTTCCCCGAGATGTGCTTGAGTCCCTGTGTCCCATGAGTCAATGGAATCCTTGGGTTCTCAGTGGGAGCCGGTGGCAGTAGAGCAGGGAGGCTCCTCCCTGGTGTTACAGACACTGTGTGGAGTCAATGTGCTTTATCCACACCAAACGTCATGTTGAGGCTCCGTCCCCAAGGTGACGGTGTTGAGGAATGTTGGGGTCTCTAACAGACCCACGAGCCACTACTGTCAGGGAGGGGTTGATGTAGTTGCCCAGCGAGTGGGTTTAGTAGCCTTGGGAACAGTTAGGAAGTGAGCACGGCTCTTCCCCTTGGTCTCTTCTCACCTTGCCATCTTGCCTCCTCACTCTTGTGACCGTTCTGCCTCACTTCCCATGGGTTTCTGGTTTTCTGCCATGCATAAAGCAGTGTGAGACCCTTGAGGGAAACCAGCAGATACTTGAACACTTAGAACTGTGAGCTCCTTCCTTCCTTCCTTCCCTCCCTCCCTTCTAAAAAATGTATTTATTTTGCGCAGGTGTGTTCTATCTGCATGTACACCTTTATGCCAAAAGAGGGCACCAGATCCCACTAGAATTAGTTGTGAGCACGATGTGGTTGCTGGGAATTGAACTCAGGACCTCTGAAAGATCAGCCAGTGCTCTCAACCACTGAGCCATCTCTCCAGCCCCTGCTCATTTATTAATAAACCACCTAGCTTCAGATAGTTTGTTAAAGTGGCAGAAAGTGGAGTAAGACAGCCCTCCACTGACTTTCCACTATGCAGTTTCCTTGTGAGGATGCACAGCTCCTTTCTTGGTTCTCAGTTGGTAGGAGGTGATGTGTTCCTGGATCACTCTTGTGCTGGAGGTAGGGCTGGTTTTCAGGCGTCCGCAGAGGGGAGCCCTGAGCAGAGAGACATCCTCTGGGCAGCTGGTGTTGGGGTGGCAGTTGGAGAGCCAGCTTCTCACCCTGACGAAGCATCTCAGAGCCAGGCTAGTTGGTGTCTGCTTGCTGCGGGGGGGGGGGGGGGGAGCCTGGTGGAGAAGCAATGGGTTTTCTTGATCATTTTTTACTACTAATGTACTTTCCCACCCTTATTAGACTGCGGATCCTTGAAGACTAGGGACCTGTCTCTTTTCCGTTTAGATCCCACAGCACCTGACGCTGTCACCAGGACACATTTCCACAGCAACAGGCAGTCAGGAGGGAGATACGCTTCTGGCCTTGCTACCGCTTGGCAGGACAGGTCCCTCTGTCTTTGGGGGAGAGCCTTCCTCTATGCAATGAGGGGTTTAAGGTGACCTGTGAAGGCTCCTTAGTACCAGGCTAGGGTTCTGGGGGCTTCTACAACTTTCCCCTGGCTGAGAAAAGCCCTTCCCTCTGCTCTCCTCCCCTCCTCTCTTCTCCAGAGCCATGTAGAGAGGACACAGCCTCACCATCCCTCATCAGCACACAGCAGGGAGGGTTACTTCTTTAACTAGCATTTAAACCTGAGCAAATCCATAAACATTTAAGAGAAGGCATAGGGCTGGAAAGGTGTGACACCGTCCTCCCCATCCATGACCAACGCTCCTGTAACAAGACAGCTTAATGAGGGTGCAAGTGTTTATTTAGTCAACATTTTATGTGACATGGGAGCCTTCTGAGAAAAATACGGGAGGACCCGGGGGTTCCGTTCACTTTGAACTCACATTCCCGTTTGTACGCTCCGATTTGCTGCTGAAGTGTGGGCAGTTGTGTGGAAAAGCTGGCCACAGTGTGTGGTAGAGGAAGCCAACTGAGCTACACCCCACCAGTCTGGCCATTCAGATTCTGTCTGCCTCTGTGTGGAACACTCCCTCCTTCCAGGACAGGACAAAGAAAACAGAAGGGGTAGAATGGCCATTTTAGGTCTCGTGGCTGCTAGGCAGAGAGGGGAAGAATTCTGGTGTCTGAGATTCACTTCAGGGACAGAGGTTGGGAGGGAGGTACGGAGCAGGAGGAGGTCAGCGGACATGATGTTGGGGTAGCTCCTGTGGCCTTCGGGCCTCCTTTAGTTCACACTGCTTGCCGTGCCAAAGCTGTGCTTTTTTTACTGGACTTTGGGATACCATTTTATGAGCCCCCAACACAGCACCATGGAGAGGAGCTACTGAGACAAAGATGGGGTATCTCATGGTCTTTCCTGCTCTCATTCCTCTTCCTCTGAGCTGTGGTCAGCCACCATATTCCAGCACTCTGGTTGGTGGCAAGAAAAGAGCCCAGGGTGAGGCGATGAGCCTTCCTGATCACCCCGACCTAGTTTCATCCTGTTGCTCTGATGAAAGCCTCCATGCGAACAAACTGGAGGAGAAAGGGTTAATTTTAGCTCAGAATTTCAGGTTCTAGTCATTTGTTTCAGGAATGTCAAGGTGACAGAAACTTGAAACAGTTAACTGTATCCTCAGTCAAGAGCAAAGAGAAATGAATGTGAACGCGCTCCCATGCTTGTTCATGCTCAACTTGATTTTTCTAGGGAACGGTGTTGCCCAGAGTGGGCGGTGTCTTCCCATATCAGTTAACTTCAGACAGTTCCCCTATAGATGCGCCCTGCAGGTCAACCTGATCTAGACAGACCTTCACTGAGTTTCTCTTTTTAAGGGGATTGTAGGTAGGATGTGTCAAGGTGACGATTAAAATTAACCATTACAGCTTCCAAAGAGTAGGAGATGGGCTGAGCTCATGGTGGGAAAGAGGGAATTATTTGTTGTCTGGGACCCTGTGGAGCTGGAGGAGAATGGGGTGGCCCAGAGGGATCTCATGACTAACACCGTGCTGTCTGCTAAAGGCAGAGGGTTAAAAAGGACACCCAAAGAAACATCTAGGTTCATGTCATCTGAGAGCCCGCTCTTGGAGAAGGTGTGAGATTTAATTACTGTTTGGGGTCCAAGAGATAAACTCAGAGGAGGGTGGGGTGAACCCAGCCAGAAGACCAGGGAAGGCTCCTTGGAAGTGCATACTTGCATTACCCCGCCCTGCCCAGCGACCTTACTTATTCATTGCCCAGGTGCCCTAGAATGAATTTAGAAATTTATGAGCATGTCTCCATGTGGGAAGGAGGGGAGGCAGAGGCCAGGCAGGCCCAGCCTGCCCTGTGGACTTCGAGCCTCTTGCGTTCTTCTTGGTTGGGACTGGCCACTCCAGTCAGACTCACCCTGTGGTGCATCTCTCACTGGGAGCAGCTGTGACAATGGCTACCGCTGTGTCTGAGCCCACCCCACACCTGGAGATGAAGGCCCCAGCTACTGGAGGTCTTAACGCCGCCTCTGTCCCCACAGCTACCATGTCCACGCAGCGACTCCGGAACGAAGACTTTCACGACTATAGTTCCACAGATGTGAGCCCTGAAGAGACCCCATCGGAAGGCCTTGGTAACTTCTCCCCTGGCTCCTACCAGCGCTTAGGGGAGAGCAATAGTACGACGTGAGTACTGGTGACCCCTGCCATGGAGTGGGCTTTCCTGTCCCCAAGTCTCCCCGGGAACGGTTTGTGCCTCCATCTCCCCATTTGACATCATACCCAGCTGGACAGAGGAAAGGGCTCTGCCCTTCCTGGTCATTTCTTATTCCTTGTTAGTTCCAGAAGGCTGGTGGCCAGGAAGAGCCTTGAGTTAAAAGCCTCGAGAGGCATAATGTCTTGGGCTAGAACCAAGTGTCAGATGCCTCCTGGCCCCATTAACGCCTCCTTGGCAGAGCCTCGTGGGACTCCTGTCCCATCACCAGGCGGCAGACGCAGGGAGAGGGAGTGGCAATGGTATTTAAGAACCCTCCAGAGTGGGTAGGGAAGAGAGATCCACTTGGCCTTCCTTAAGGAGGCTGCCGTCTTGAGCCTGGAAGCTGTACCGCTCTCATCGGGGCCAAATTTGGCCCTCTTTGGTCCTCTGTTTCTTCAGATATAAGGATGGGTTGAGAAGCGCACTGGGAAACTGGGCTGGCTGTGTGAGGTTTCCTCCTCGAACTGCAGACTTCAGAGGGACGGGTTCTGTTCTAAGTTTCCCAGCATGCCCCTGGTCCTTTTTAAAGTCCCAGGACCCTGTCCTTGGCAGCCCTGTCATTTATCCCCAATCTCAGCTGTCACCCTTCCTGGGTTCTATTGTGGGTTGGATGTGACTTCCTGAGGGCTGCTTGTGCTTACATGCCCCCACTCCCCGTGACTGCTCAAGAGGACTGTAGGTGTTGTGGGGACATGCCCTCTGCCTGCACTCTCTCCTGGGAGGGACGTTTTCCACTGTGAACTGAGGTGGGCATGGAAAACAGCCTGTTCACATGACTGGCTCCTTGCCACCCCAGAACCTTGCCACAAAGGTTCTGGCTTTTAGCTTATCGCCCATACAGCATACTGTTATGGATTCTCAATTGATTTGCTATTTAGCTGGTGGAAAGGATTGCCTAAGGTGCTGCTGGTGGCAGCCAGGACCTCCTTCCTGTCTTTCCTCTGACCTCATCCACCCCATCAGTGTCTCCCAGGGAGAAGGAAATCCCTTCAGGGGTTGTGAAATGCTTCCAGTCATCAGCTTGCTTGCACAGAGCTTACTGTGCTCACTCTAAGTTCTCACTTTTAGAGAGACCTTTCTGAAACTCGAGACCTTTCCAGGAGAGCCATTCAAGGGTGCATGCCTGGACTGCTCTCAGTGCTGGTTTTATCACTGTCCATGGTTTCTTGGATCAAGCCAAGCAGATAGCACCCTCCTTTTGGCTTGTGTTAGGACATCGTCTAAGGGGAAAGTATTTATTTGGTCACTCCAGCCTGGGGACAGGACCTACCCAGGCACTTATTTATTCAGGAAGCATGCCAGGTGGGCCAAGGCTGATCGAGGACTCTTGTTAATCTCTCCTAGGTAGTGTGAGGGATGTGATTTAAAGCCTTTTACCCTTCTTTGTTATCTACTTTAGTAGGGAGCAAAGGACCTTGGAAGAGCTGCTTAACCACACCCGACTCTTCTAGAATTTAAAAGATCAGTTAAAAGCCCAAAATAATGAGTGCAATAAAGTAGAGACCTTAGACATTTCTATGCTGGAGAAGGGCACCTCTCCCTCCTTTGCCCCGAAGAGCCATAGTAACAGCTCTCTACCCCACCTCCATGGTGTTTCCCCAGACCAGCAGGCTGAGGCACCAGCTAGCTACCTGTTGGTCTTTGTTAACTTGGACCACACATTTGCCGAATATGGTCTGCAGAGCTTCTGGGGTCCCAAGAACCTTTCTCTTCCTAAAAGTGCTAAGCTGTCATTTGCCTTTCATTCTGTTCCCATGTGCACGAGGATGCTGGAACAGCATGTGTGCCGCTTTCTCCCCCTCAACCCCACACATTTGCATTATCCTAGTCACTGTGAGTAGAAGGAAAAGGCCAGTTCCACTTAAGATTGTCCTTGGCAATGGCTGGGGTTGTAGTTCAGGTGGCAGAGTGCTTGCCTAGCATGCCCTGGGCCCTGGGTCTCATTCCCAGCAACACATACACTCAGTGTGATGGCACTTGGGAGTTGGAGGCCAGAGGATCAGAAGCTCAGAGTCATCCTGGACTACATAGGGAGTTCAAGGCCAGCCTGGGATGCATGAGAGCTTGTCTCCAATAACCAAAAAGTCCTTGATGAGATAGTGAGACCATTAATTCTTATTAAATTGCAACCTTTAGCATGGGTCTCTCAGTTGTCGCTATTAAAAAAAAATACCAGATACCATAGTGTGAGTATTGAACTAACTGGAGTTCTTGTTCGTTGTTTTTTTAATAGAAAAGGTTTGTTTTACTAGAAAGAGCAACCAGCTAACTAGGTTTTCAGACCCTAGTATTTGCATTTCCTTTGAAAAGGAAAGAATCAGATCCATTAATTCAAGGAAAACCACCAACAATGTTTTTGTGGCTCACATGAAATTTGAGCTTTCAAGCAGAATTAAAGAAAAACAAAAAACAAAACAAACAAGCAGAACATCCATCCCACTCTCATATCTAGCACCGTGTGCTCACAAATGCTTTCCCACGAGGTCAGATCTCTCTGGGAAGGTCAAAGCTTTGCTTTGAGCTGATATAATGCAAGAGGTTAGTATTCAGATCCTCCACATATGTGAGGGAATTGTGCGTGAGGGACAGGTCCCTGCAGACAGCTGCAACAGTGGTTAAAGGAACGGGGCATGGGAGGGCCAGAGTCCACGATGCAGCTTAATGGATTCATTTTGGAGTGATGTTAGAGAAGAATTGCCACAGTTGAAGAAGCAGCTGAAATGTCCCTCCTTTTTCCAGTAAATGTCTAGGGAGAGCACACTTTCTCATAGGCTTTCACCAAAGCCACGCGTGTAGACTGAATGTTGAAATGGAGACACAGCTATTTTCTGTAGGATGAGACATTTAGGAGGTATTTTAAACAGTGATGGAGGCGGTGCTGAATGCAAGCCCTGTGGTGATGGAGGAGGAGGTGCTGGAGCACAGGCCCTGTGGTGATGGAGGAGGCGGGGCTGGAGCACAGTCCCTGTGGTGATGGAGGAGGTGGGGCTGGAGCACAGGCCCGGTGGTGAAGAGCATTTGTTGCCCTTGCAGAGGACCTGAGCCCTGGTTCCAGCACCTACACTGGGCAGCTCACAACTACCTATAACTCCAGCTTTAGGAGGTCCCATACCTTCTTCTGTCCTTTGAGGGCATTCTCATTAATACACACACACACACACACACACACACACACACACACAGAGGGGGGGGGCATGCAAGCATGCATGCGCACATACACATGCAAAAAAAAATTTTTTTTAAATGAGTGGTTGGAGATCTAGATGGTTGCTGCTCCTCCAGAGGACCAAGTTTGATACTCAGCACCCACATGGTGGCTCAAATGTCCATAACTCCAGTCCCAGGAGATCCAACACTCTCTTCTGGTCTTTGAGGGCAGTACACTTCTGTGGGTCACAGACATGCATGCAAACAAAACACCCATACACATAAATTTAAAAGTTAATTCCCATGTTTAACTTCAATAATTAAACTATTAGTATCTATTAAACTTACTGTTATTTTAAATTGTAAAATTTGAGTTTTAGTCATACAACTTTTCTGCAGATAGAACCTACATAAGCAAAGATATTAGGGTCCTTAATTCATCAGAGAATAAAAGAAGACCTGGGAGAGAAAAGGCCTAAGAGCTAATGATAGCACAAATGAAAACTAGAGACACCAGTTGGTGTTTCTCCCTTCTGTCTTCAGAAACTAGCCCACCCCGTGGTGTGGCTAGAATGTCACAGCCATGGGGTGATACTATGATGCCTACCTGGTGTTGAGGTGACATCACCTTGGGCAATTTTGACCCTGGGCCTAGGAGCCTGATGTTTCTGAACTGAAGGGACTTGAGGATCACCTGCCCTGGTCCTGTTACTTCATAGTTCAGGTGAGATAACAGTTCCCAGAACGGAAGGGAATGGCCAGGCAGTGTGACAGTCAGCTGAGTCGGGGCCAGGATGCCCAGCAGGGGGCATTTTGGGAAGGCTTCGGGAAGGAGAGAGGATGTAATACAAGCTTACCTTTGCACTTTAGTGGGTTAAATATTTGTTTGCCAAGGTAGAGATTTAACAGGCCCGTTGTCCTCCTTGGCTACTGGCTGCTGATAATGCGGCTGGACCCTTGCAGGACTCTGGGCTGTGGCTCAGAGCACAGGCACACATCTCTCCTGGGAGTCAAAGGCCTTTTCTTGGTGGTCCATCCTACAGATCCATAATGGCAGATAGATCCCATGACCTTTCTGGTAGACTGGAGGGAATGGCCTTTGCGGGCTTTCGGTTTCTGCCAAATGTAGATTTGTGTGCAAGCTCCAGTTTTGAGGGATCCTGAGGGCTGTTTGTGCAAAAGGATTTTTTATGTTCAGGGTTAAGTCTTGAGTGATTGGAGGCACCTCACTTGAGCTATTTCTTACTCTGTCACGGGGAACAAAAGGCAAAGAGAGGCCACGACCAGCACACTCCTCTGTAGTCTGGGAGGCACGTGCTTCCTTCCTGTGGCAGTGACACCCCCCCTCACCTTCTGGCCTCAGGTCTCTGCCCTCCACTCTCATGCCTCATGTCTCCCTGGCTGTGCCCCCCACCCTTCATCTCTTGTTTACCTCGAGACAGTACATGCCCGTAGAGGCTGGCATCCGTGTCTGACTCACCAGACCCACCCAAGTATTTGTTGAGTAAAAAAAAAAAATGGATGAGAACACATGAGAGGCTTTATATGAAGTCATAAACCAATGGGGACAATCCGTACAAGTTTAGAGGGACTGCTGTCCTTAAGGCATGGGGTCAACCAGGGACCCACTGAAGAGGGCTTTGCTAGTCCTGGGCCCAGTGGCAGCTGGCCTCTATTTTTTCAAACACAAAATCCAATAGCAACTTTTTGTTGTTGCTGTTTTGAGAAAGGGTCTCTCTATTTAATCTTGGCCCTCCTGGAACTTATGTAGACCAGAGCTGGCCTTGAACTCACAGAGATTCTTCTGCCTCTGCCCCACAAGTGCTGGGATTAAAGGCGTGCACCACCACGCCTGGCCTGGTAGGAATGTTGAGACCCACCTGGTATTGTGTAGTAGAGGGGTTGGCCTTTTTTTATTTTATTTAGTGGGTTTTTTTTGTTTGTTTATTTGTTTTTTGTTTTTAAGACAGAGACTCACTTTATAGTCCTGGCTGGCCTGGAACTGGCTGTGTGAATCAGGCTAGCCTTGAACTCTTGAAGATCGACCTATCTCTGCCTCCTAGGTGCTGGGATTAAGTGTTACCATCACACCTAGCTTGGACTTTATTTTTTGGTCACCCCTGTTTTCTCACACATCATGCATCTTGTCATCCTCTGTGTCATTGTGGGAGTCATCAGCCATCACTCAGTGGTCAAATCGAGCCCTGAATGCAGCCGGGAAAGATGGAGTGTCTAGGGAGAGCCTCCATCATCCCTCTGTACTGGCTTCTAAGAGAGGAGGGGTCGGGAAGTGTTGTCATTGGGAGGTGTGCTCTTTGAACTATTTATGAAGTAAAATGTCATAAGATTGTTTGGGAATTTAGATAAGCTATTGTGTGTGGGCTCTTTATGTTGGGGCCTTGCAGATAGGCACTGGCCCACATTGTAACTAATGCTTCCCGCTTGGCCTTCCTACTTCAGATGGTTCCAGACCTTGATCCACCTGCTAAAAGGCAACATTGGCACTGGACTACTGGGGCTACCACTGGCAGTGAAGAATGCAGGCCTTTTGGTAAGGGTTGCAGACATCCATGCATTGAAAGTTATGCATTAGGGCCCTCTGTGTGCCAGGCACTTCCAAGGCCCTGAGCCTAGTGACTTTAGCTGGCAGTCCTGCCCTCCCTTTGACTCTCCACACATAATCTACTCGCCCAGCACCATCATGGTTTCAGAGATGTTGACTGTCCAAGTGTTGACCTTGCTGATCACCCGCAGGATAACTTCCCTCCTACATCCCAGAGCCCGCTGGAAACTTCTACTCTGTGGATCCATTGTCCGCAAGATTAACTGTCTGGACCAGGTCTGAGGGCACACACAGATCCAGTCTCCTGGATCCTCTCTCTCCTGTCGGCCAGAGCTGTGTCTCTAGAAGTGCCGTGGTAGCCTTTTATCACCTGTGCATTCGGTCTGTCTTGGACTTTCTCCTAATTCTGCCTGCTTCTCTTTCTTTTGTCTGCAACCTCGGTCCCTAGTTGGGTCCTCTCAGCCTGCTGGTGATTGGCATCGTGGCCGTGCACTGCATGGGGATTCTGGTGAAGTGTGCTCGTCACTTATGCTACAGGTAAGAGCCTGAGCCATTACCTGAGGGTCCTTCGTCAGTCTGAAAGTGGGTTGTACAGCTCCTCTGGGTTCGTCACCTAGCTGGGGATGGCTGCTGTCACTGTGGTGTTGCCTTCCCCTGATTATTATTGTTGTTGTTGTTATTATTTTTTTACCATTTTTGGCTTCATCTATTAAACTGACACTTGTCCAACGAACAGAGACCACATCCTAATTTCGGTGCTTGCTTGTTTATTGCACTGAAATGCTTACCTCTACCAGGTGCTTCTGGATTGTGATGAGGATTCCATGTCATTTGCTTAATACCTGTGACCCAGGAGTTGGAAGAGGGCTCATTTGGTAAAATGCTTAATGTGTAGGAAGGGCATCTGAGTTCAGAAACCCGGTAACCATGTTAAAACAAACAAACAGACAGACAAAACCAAAAAGACGCTGGGTGCAGAGGCGAGCTCCTGCAGCGCTGCACTGGAGAAGCAGAGACAGGAAGTTCCTGCGGCTTCCTGGACAGTCATTCTAATAGTGGGCAAATTCCAAGGCCAGGAAGAAGGCCTGTCTCAAGTAAATGGTAGAGAGTGATTGGGGAAGACACCCAGTCTTCCTCGTCTGGCCTCCATGTATGTGCACTTGTACATATGTGAACATGTATGCATGTGCATACACAGATGTACATGCACCCTACACGTGGTCCTTGCAGGGCTCAAAGGTCCCCTAGGGTGTCTCCATTTGTTCTTTCATTGTCATTGTCTAACCCATCCATTCTGCTTTTCCTGTATCCCACCCCCACCCCAGGCTGAACAAACCCTTTTTGGACTATGGGGACACAGTGATGTATGGACTGGAATGCAGCCCCAGCGCCTGGGTCCGGAGCCACTCCCACTGGGGAAGGTAACTGACTTCCCTTGTTCCTCTTGGCCACAGCTCCCAATGTGGGACCAGAGATAAGCGGGCATGATGTGGGGTCAGTGCCACGAGTGGAGGGTAGCGTTGGGGTTGGCTCGACAAATGGTAGGCCGTGAGCCCAGCCTTCTCTGGGCCTCAGTTTCCTCATCTTTAACGTATGGGGCCTGATCTACAGGACCAACCCTGAGAGCCACAGGCTGTGAGGGCTCCGGTTTGTTCAGCAAATGTATTTGATGCCGTGTCTCATAAGTGGCACAAAAGTGATTCTAGCTTAGAAAAGGAGCTTCTCTGGTGTGCACTATGCTGTCCCCACACTGCAGGGACGTGTGGCCTTTGTAGGGTGAAAGATGCATGGGAAGAGAAGAGAAGCTGGGACCAGGGACGAGGTCAGCAAGGGAGTGTGGCTAAGAGGCCCTGGCTGTGTGGGATGAAGGGCGTGGGATGGGCAAGGGCAGTGTCCGGAACAGGTGGGGAACCTAGGAGAGTTTCTCCCGACTTTTTGGGTGACCAGAGGGAAACAACCTACTTTTCATTCCTGTCTGGATGTAGAGAATTCACATTGTCACAGGCTTGAAGCCTTACTTTTGTCGTAGTGAAGGTGTTGCTTGCTGTCATTTATAGCCCCACCCTAATCTAGGGCGTGTACATTTCTTCTCCTTCCCTCTTTCCTTCCTTTATTCTCTCTCTCTCTCTCTCTCTCTCTCTCTCTCTCTCTCTCTCTCTCCTTTGGCAAAATTATCTGTTGAGGAGCAGCCAGGCTGCCGAGTGTCCACCACAGTTTGTCTGTATGTTCCTTCCTCCCTGCTTTCCCTCCATTCTCCCGCACACCCTTCCTTATTCTCCTAGGAAGAACATTGTTTGCACTTGGCAAGAGGACACAGTTTGGAAAATAGAGTTAAATGCTGGTCATAGTCCAGTGGCACGGGTACCCTTCTGTTTCTTCTGGAGCTTTCTGTGTTCATATACACACGCAGATGCTCTTACATTTACCCTTTTTGGCAAACGGCTCTTCCTGTGTGCCGTTTGAAAACTTGCTTTGTCTCCTTTTGATGCCTTGGGTAGGTTCCTCCAGAACCAGTCCCAGGTCTGACCTGTTCTTTCTAACTGCTGTGCCGTGTTCCATCAAAAAGGATCTGTAACCGTGTTCCTTTCGCTGGGGCTTCAGCTCGTCACCAGCAGTGGCCGAGTGCTTCAGGCAGCAGTCTGCTTTGGTACCTCGGCGTATTTACCTGCAGCTCGATGTAGGAGGAGGCTGAGAAGGGCTTGCTTCCTTTTCTTTCATGCCAAGAGCTCTCTCTAGCTTTAGGAAGGAAGATTTGCGCTTGGTGGATGGGCAGGAGAAGGCCAGACTGGGCTGTACTCTGGCGATGCCGTGAGCTCATGCAGGAAGGTGAGGGAAGGGACTTGCAGCGTATAGATAGCCCCTGCACACCCTCCTCCCTAGATTCTGGACAGGCGACACCACAGCTTGTCCTGATGACCTGCTCAGATGGTCGTCTCCCGGGAAGCCTTCCCATCTGATGGCCTTTGTTCCTCTCGCCCCTCTGCAGGCGCATCGTGGACTTCTTCCTCATTGTCACTCAGCTGGGATTCTGCTGCGTCTACTTTGTGTTTCTGGCTGACAATTTTAAACAGGTAGAGTTCTTCTGAAGGGAAGGGCGAGAATTGAGTGATTTTGTTCAAGGCTCCTCCCAAGCCAAAATGGTTTGGGTTTGAACCTTTGGTGTCTGATTCTCATCTGAAAACCTGTCGTGGAAAGAGACCTTGCCTTGCCTGTGTTGCCATCAGCTGGCTCAAGGTCCTTTGGCTCTATCTGGCTGAAGTCTTCCCTACCTAAAGAGAAGAAGCTCATCCAGGGCTCATCTTGAGTAGCTATTGTAATCCTTGGTAGCAGGCAGGAGGAAGCCGCAGTATGTGGCGCCCTCTAGTGTTACTTCTGTGGAAGTCTTTGTAATGGGACCTTTTTCTGTAGAAGTGCTCAGCTCTGTAGAGGCTGCTGGGCAGGCTCAGGGGCCAGGATCCATCAGCTCTTGACAGAAGCCAGGCTGTATCTCTCAGACATGGGGTGTCTGAGACCCTTGGCCCTAAAGGCTGTGTTAATGAGTTAGGGTCAGAGCCTGTGTCCTAGCTCTCTGATAAGCCAGGTTCAGCCACCTGTCCTGAATCAGCCAATTCAAAGAGCAGACTTGATAATGAAGAACAGAAAAGGACGTTTTCCATATGGCCTCTCCGAGAGGAAGGGCCCATGGATCCCCACCAAGTGCATCTTCAGGGTCCTGACAGGGGATTGAGGTTTAAATAGAAGGAAGGAGATAGGAATAATTAAGTAGCCCTGGTCAAGGAGCCACGGGTCCATCATTGTGCTCCAGTCTCTCCTACAAGGTGGTTTGACAAGTTGTCTTGTTGGCACTGTGTGGAATCCTTTCCGTTTTCCAGGAGACCAGTTCCCCATCTGGCTGGCACCAGGTCTTCCTGTTCTCAGTAGGGGATTCCTGGGGGAATTCCAGCTGTCTAAGGGTCCAGAGTCCAGATAGCCAGAACAAGGACTCAAGTGTTTCTTTAGTGTGTCCCCTTTCAAGTCAGGCGTGCTAGTTACAGCTGGATCAGGGTCTGCAGGCTTTCCTCTCTGTTTCCTGAGTGCCAGCAGGAATGCTTAGGATCAGAATGGGAAGAACTCGGCATCAACTTTCCGCTCATCTGTCTCCCACATCCTTCTGTCTTTTGTGAGACACGATCAATCCAGACTCAGCTGGTTCACAATAATTAAGACCCCCGGAGAGGTTTCTCAGTCATAGGTGCCTACATAAAGACCCTCCAGCTGGATACCTACTGGCTCCATCACCAAGGACTTTTCCTTTTTTCTTCTCATTCCAGGTGATAGAGGCGGCCAACGGGACCACCACCGACTGTCACAACAATGAGACTGTGGTCCTGATGCCCACCATGGACTCTCGACTCTACATGCTCGCCTTCCTGCCCTTCCTGGCGCTGCTGACTTTCATTAGGAACCTGCGCATCCTGTCCATCTTCTCCCTGCTGGCCAATGTCAGCATGCTGGTCAGTCTGGTCACAATCTACCAGTTCATCGTCCAGGTACGATCCCAGGCCCTTCCCCATCCTGTGGAATAGGGAAATCAAATGGAGTGATCACACGCTACTTACATGTGGCGTATGTAAACTGGATGTTGCACAGTTTCCTGGGGAGGCGGGAGCAGATGTTTCCTCCAGATAGGCCTCCAGTGACAGACCAAGGAAATTATCCCATCTCGGTTTTTTGATCTATATATTTTATGACATTTTTGAGCTTTTATTTTATTGGTATTGTTGTAGAGTTAAGCTTGTGTTTATAATTTGCAAGCTCCTCTGTATAGGGAACTTTTTCTGCTTTCTTAGTTGGGTTGTAGATCGGCATCACCAGCATCAGTCACCCAACTGATGGAATGATGGCTGTCCTTCCCACCTGTCTCAGTCACAAGCCCCCATAGCTGGGAACCGTGAAGCTTCCTACTCGCAGCTCCATCTGACCGATAGATGACCCTGATCGCTGTCTGTCCCTAATCCACGGGTAGCACTGGTTTCCGTCTCTTTTCATCTGCGACACAGGAATAGTTTCTAGGTGATCTCATGCTCAGGTCTCATCTTAGAGCAGAGATACCTGTTTGTCTATATCCTGCATACTAAAATGCTTCTCTTTTTTTAGAGTTGAAATTTAAAAATTAAAATTATACATTTACGTGTGGGTATATATACATGAGTACAGGTGCCACAGAGGCCACAAGAGGGCGTCAGGTCTTCCTGGTGTCACATAATAGTAGTAAAGACGTTCAATGTAGGTGCTGGGAATTGAACTTGGGTCTTCTGCAAGAGTAGCATGTGCTCTTAACGATGGAGCCACCCTCACCCTCAGCTTTGACTTTTGTGTTTTTAAAAAAATCATTTTTCTGCCTTTTCTCAGCATTCCTCAACATTCTTCTCTTGTGCTTCTTGATAGTTTGAAGTGTTCAGCCTAACTGATGAAAAAAAATAAAATGGGGGAGGAAGAGACTAATCTAGAAATCATGTCTTCCGGGTTTATCTCTGTGGATGTTTGCAGAGTTGCATCACCATTACTATATAACTGTGTGGTAGTAGTTGATTTTTTTTTTTAGACCAGGTAGCCCAGCCTGGCCTCAAGCTCACTATAAATCATAGGTTAACCTTGAACTCCTGATCCTCCTGCCTCAGCCTCCTAAGGACTAGGATTACAGATGTAAGTCACAACACCTGACTATAATGAATTAATGTTTTCCCAATATTATTTCATAGTCAGTTTTTCATATTCTTCTTTACTATCTCATGTACAGAGTCCAAGTTGATTTCGAACTCCTGTTCTTCCTGCCTTGACCTCCTAAAGTGCTGGGTTTACAGGCTTGTACTCCAATGTCTGCCTTTAACTTTCACTTTTTGTATAGTGTGTAATATTCTGTGATATGTTCGGCATGTGGCTAATCATTTAAGATGGTTTTCCGTTTCTTTGCTAAGTAGCTTTGACAGTTTCTCTATCTGTTGAGTTTCTTCTTTTATATCAGATGTCTGGGGACGGGATCACCGAGTGAGAGTGAGGCTTTATGCAGGCGTCAGCAGTGAGCAGTTATGCTATACTGGGCAGATCTTTATCCAGAGCAAGCAGGGGCTTCCCAGTCTGAAGCGAGAGAAAGCTTGACTGTTTGTTAGCTTCTTCCTTTTTTTTTTTAGAAATCTTGGATTTAGGAGTGCTCTGACTTTCGATTCAAAGCCCGAATCTCTGAGTAGCCCTTGGCTTTGCTCATCTTTTCCAGAGTATACCGGACCCCAGCCACCTCCCCTTGGTGGCTCCATGGAAGACCTACCCTCTGTTCTTCGGCACAGCAATTTTTGCTTTTGAAGGCATCGGTGTGGTAAGAGGGGCACCGTGGTGTGGGCCTGGGTGCTGTCTAGCACCCCAGTCTCCCCACTGTCTGCTTTGGAGCTTAGGAACCCCCATTGGAAATCATCTCTTGAGCTGGATGTGGTGGCACGTGCCCTTTGTCACAGCACTCGGGAAGTGGGATGAGAGGATCAGGATTTTGGGTCATCACTGGCTACATAGCTAGTCTGAGGCCAGTCTAGACGTAGGAGACCCTTCCCCTGCCCCGATAAAAACAAGGAAGGGAAGCTCATGCTTAGGAAAATTGGCTGGAGGCAGCAAGCTCAGGACAAGTGTCAGAGTCTTGCTGGGGGCCATGCTACTGTGAGGCAAAGGGCACCCCCAGCCTCTGACGTCTCACCTCTCCTCACTCCTCGTTAGATAGTGGGTTCTGAAGCCCTTTGTGTGCCTGAGAGTGTAACTGCTGATCAATTAACTGACTTCGCTATGCCCTAAAGGAGAGTGTACTTGGGGGTCTGACAATAAAGAGTATATTTTCTTTCAAGATGTTCTGTGTGCGTGTGTGTTTTCATGTGCATGTGTTCACCTGTGCATGTGTGTGTGTGCATGCACACGTATGCGTGTGTGTATGCTTTTGTGTTTGGAGGTCAGAAGTCAACATCAAGTGTTTCCCTCTTACATGTCCGTTTTGGAACCTAACCTCTCTCAATGAACTTAGGATTTCCTGCTTTGCCTAGACTGTTGTCAGGTCAGCGAGCTCCACTGATCAGTTCTACCCCACCCTACCTCTGCCAGGTGCTAGGGTCACAGATTCATGCCTCCACACCTGGCTTTTTTGTGGGTTCTGGGCATCTGAACTCAGGTTCTCATGCATGCACAGCAAAGCTCCCCAGGCCCCTGATGATGCTAGCTTTGTGGTGTGCCCACTTTTCTTTCTCACATGCTTTCTTTCCCCTTATGACTTTTTTGTAGGTGCTACCCCTTGAGAACAAAATGAAGGACTCACAGAAGTTTCCGTTTATCCTGTATTTCGGGATGGCCATTATCACTGCACTCTATATCAGCCTGGGGAGCCTGGGGTACCTGCAGTTTGGAGCTAATATTAAGGGCAGCATCACACTCAACCTGCCCAACTGCTGGTATGTGGTGGGGAGGGGACTGGAAACTTCTAGAAGGTGATGGGTCAGAATGTTGCATTTCCTTCTCATTTGGCTACTCTGATCTTTTGATTCCTACAGCAGCTTGTACCGAATTCATGTGTGAATTATCTGTCTGATGAGGCTTTCTCCTGGGAAACATGGATCCCCAAAGAACTGAGTATCCATCTATACTTAGTCATTCCAGACACCTGTAGGGGAGGGCAGGCCTGTCTGGGCAGTCACAGACTGCTGTGTCTGTGGACTGCTGACTCTTGGGAGTCCTTTTTCGAGTGTCTTTCCTAGGCGGACATGCTATAGGGAAATGCTGAGACCTGCAGAAGTGTCTGGATGTCCCAGAGCGTGAGCTAAGCAGTCTCTGGTTGGAAGTTGAAAACCCCATTGTAGAGAGCAGCTGTTCTGCTCACACTGAGAAACACCCAGGGACCGAGAGTGGCCTTTCCATACAGCCAATTTGATGGCACTCTGAGTGGTGAGACTGAGTGAGGACAAATAGAGAAAAATGTTGACTCAGTAGGGCCAGTGTGTAGCCCAGGATCCTAGGCAGCAGGCATCTGAGGGTCCCTCCAGCTGTCTTCACCCCACTCAGCTGCCCTCAGCTCACCCCGTGCTTCTGTAAGTGCATTTACGTGGACATGCCTGTAGGGGACGCTCCTGACTCCAGATTTAGCAGTTCTCTGGAGGGCTCAGGGTCTTAACACAGGGCACTGCCCGATGACTGTTCCCCCCCTACCCCCGTCAAAGAGTTTGTATTGCTTACACTTAGCAAGTGTAACTTTTTTTTACCCACCCCAGTCTTTTCCACGGTGTTCTCACAGCTTAAGAGCCTCATCTAGGTGTTTAGTTCAGCTACAGCAATGACCTGTTCACATTACACACAGAAGACATTTGAATCTAGCCCAGAGTGGCCAGTGGCTCTCGGTGCTCTATGCACAGGTCTTGTTGAAGGTGGGTTTCTGCTGAAGACAGAGTGGCCCTTCCTCTGTGTGTCCTGAGTCAGGTTCAAAAGCACTGTGCTCTGGGGTGCTAAATTGGAGTACCCGATGGTATGTCAGTGGCCTCCATGGGGAGTTTCTGAGGTCTGTGGTAAAAGGCATCTCTGTTGGGAAGGGGAGGGGCCTATGCTCCCCCCAACCCCCGCCACCACGAGCTGATTCTAAGATGCCCTGAATTGCATGGGAAGGACAAAAGTGACTTGTTAGAGTCCAGTAGTTAATTTTGAAAGGTATTTGCTCGTGCACACAGGGCCAAGATTCCAGATATACAGAAGGTGTAAAGAGAATGTTTTACTACACCATGGGGCACAGTCTGTGCTTTCACAGTGTGTCACTCAGAGGTGTGTAAGAATGTGTGTGTGTGTGTGTGTGTGTGTGTGTGTGTGTAGGTTTTCTTTCTTTTCTCTTTCTTTCTTTCTCTCTCTCTTTCTTTCTTTCTTTTTTTTTTGGAAAGTTGTCATGTAGCAGAGACTGATCTTGGACTCTTAATCTTCCTGCTCCCTTCTCCAGAGTGCTAGGGTTATGATGTACCTGACTTGCCTCCTCATTTTGAAGAGCTATGTGAGGGTACTGTGATTTAATTAGTTTTCTGTGAATTGTTTCATTTTTGTAGTATTTTCTTACATAAAAGCAATAGAGGACTAATTTTTAAAAATTAATTTGAATTTAATCTGTGTGTGCGCGTGCATGGGAGAGGGAGAGAGAGAGAGAGAGAGAGAGAGAGAGAGAGAGAGAGAGAGAGAGAGAAGAGAAAGCCAGGCCTAAGGTTTCTGAGTCTGAAGACCCTGTGGGTTGGTGACCTTTCCAGTTGTCTTCAGGGTGCAGGGTGGCTTTGGCCTCTGTCCAGGGCTGTCAGAGTGCACCATCAGGCTCCTGAGAGCACCCACTCTCTGCAGGTTGTACCAATCTGTGAAGCTGCTGTACTCCATAGGCATCTTCTTCACATACGCTCTCCAGTTCTACGTCGCGGCTGAGATCATCATTCCGGTCATTGATTCCCGAGTGCCTGAGCCTTACAAGATGATGGTGGACCTCTGTGTACGCACTGCGATGGTCTGCATAACGTGTGAGTAGAAGAGATTCTTTCTGCATTTACTTAAAAGCAGTAGTTCTCAACCTGTGGGCTGTGACCTCCACAGGGGTCACATATTGGATATCCTGCATATCAGATGCTTACATTATGACTCATAACAGTAGCAAAATTACAGTTAGGAAGTAGCAACAAAATAATTTTATGATTGCATTCACCACAACATGAATAACTGTTTTAAAAGGTCGCAGCATTAGGAAGGTTGGGAACCACCTACTAAAGCCTTGAGGACATCTGAATTGTTCCCATTGAGAGCCTGGCACACAGCCACGCTACTGAAGTTGACGCATGAAGAATTGGTTCTCAGTGATCCCCAAAGATTTCGGAAGTAAGGACGGTAGTTTATAGATGAGGTCTAAAGTACAACAGAGAACAAAGACACACTGTTACTGTCCCAGCTGAAATGGGTGACAATCTAAAAGCCACTTCAGAGGGCTGGAGATGTCGCTCAGTTTGTAGCATGATGACCGAGCATACACGAAGCTCTGGGGTTCCATCGTGAACACTACTGATGTGTGGTGCACACCTGCAAGTCCAGCACTGAGGAGGTGGAGGCAGGAGGATTAAAGGTTTGAGGTCAACTTGGGATATATGAGACCCTATTTCAGTAGATGATAGACAGACAGACAGACAGACAGAAGATAAAGGGTTTGAGTTCAGCCTGGGATATATGAGACTCTGTTTTAATAGATGATAAACAGACAGATAGATAGATAGATAGATAGATAGACAGACAGACAGACAGATAGATAGATAGATGGATGATGGATAAATGGATAGATGGCTGGGTGGCTGGATAGGTAGATGAATGAATGGATGATGAATTGACAGTTAGATAGATGGATAACCGCTTCAACCACATCCACTAGGATGTCTAGGAAGAGGGTCAAGAGCTCAGGGCTAGCCTGGGATACACAAAACCTTGTCTCTCTCTCTGTCAATCAATAGCTTTAAACATCTGTCGGTTAACCTGGTTGTTTACCTCTGTTTGTTTTTTTTTTTTAAATTTCCCCTTTACCCTATCCTGAGCCAAGTGGTGTAAGTTAAACATTAAAATCAGAATATAACCTATGTTCTGTTTGTTGAAAGCAAGATCAATTTTTAAAAATTAACTTTTCCTCATTGCTTCTGTGAGTTAAAATGGGGAATTCATAACCAACTGGTCCCTAATTTCTGGTTTGAATTTCCAGGAGATGTGCAGTTTTCCAAATTAGGCTTTTGTGTTAGTTTTATTGTTTTGGGTCATACATCTCATTACTTATTATATCAAGACTTTTCCTTGAAGTGTCCTTAAATAACTTAATCCTAGCCTCTACCTTTGGTATAAAGATGGGCCTATATGATTTTTCTTCTCCCTCCTCAGGCTCATCCATACACACACACACACACACACACACACACACACACACACACATGTTTGTGAACCGAACCAAAGTTAAATTGTTTTGTTATTGTTGTTGTTTTATTTACTATTATATGCACACACGGTGGTGGGACCCAAGTAGAGGGCAGAGACAGCTTGTGTTAAATGACCTAGAACCTCTGACCTTACTGACCCCACCACATTTGACTCATCGTTGTTTTCCTGCCAGGACAGTGGGTAGAAAGCCAGCCTTCTTGACATCTATGTAGAAAGAACTCTCTAGAACTAAGGGGGTGACCTTGATCCTCTAACTTAACCTTGGGCAGCTCTCCTGAGGATTTCTTGCAGACTGAGTCTAGTCATTGTGGATCCTCCAGATGTTTGGAGCGTGCCTAACCCTGAGAACTCTGTCTTCTCCTGCTCTTTGGCAGACTCCAGCCCGTCTCCTGGCAGAAACAGCCCTGGAGACAGATAAACTAAGGAGCAACCAACCACACAGAATGTACTGTGATCTCACCCTCTGCAGCGGCTCCCAATACCCACTCTGTTTGTCCTTCATGGTTTAGCTCAAGTGTTGAGGAGACGGCTTCTGTGTGCATAGTGGCTTGTCTCGTCGGCTCTGAGGGCCTGCTTCTTGAATCTAAAGGGTTTTTACAAGACAGGGTATGGAGCATTCAAATAACTTGCCTTCCCAATGCAGATCCTCCAGAAAAAAAATAGGTTTGTCTCTGTAAAATGTCCCGAAGCATAGGGCCTATTTCCCGACAGGCTTATTCCTACCCCATCCTGCAGGAACTGGCAATCCCTGGCTCCATACCTCATCCTGTCCTTAGATTCTCTCGGTTTTTCTGCTTTGTTTTTCCTGGCTCTGTCTGAGTCTCACTATCCTTTGTACTGAAGGACACTCACAGGGTCGGCTGTGTTTGATCTTTGAGAGCATATTCTGCGCTCCCATCTCCTGTGATCTGTTCGGGTTCTTTGTCCTATGAAAGGAGGCAGCCCCTTCATCTTTGCCAGCTCCATAGCTTTTCCCGGCTTCCCTGGAGGCTTTGAAGTAATTGTGGGAGGCAGAAGAGAGGCCTCTCAGGGTAGCACCTACTCAAATGTACTTGCGTGGGTTCATTTTGTTCTTTCCTCTCTGTTTATTCGATTCTTGTGGTAAAGTTGATTGGTGAGTCACTGTGCATCTTGATATGGCTATTTTCAGTTATATCCGCGTAATTTATGGGCAGCCTTTTTTTTTATTGCTGTCTCTAATGTTTTTTTTTTCCTTCCCTCCATCAACTTACATATCCAAGAAAAATAGGGAGACTTCAGCCCAGTCTCTTATTATTTCAATTTTATGTGTTTGGATGTTTTACCACACATGTGTCTGGTGCCTGGGCATCAGATCGCCTAGAACTGGAGTTATAAACACCATGTGGGATCCATCAGTGTAAGGAAGTGAGTGGTCCCTCAGGAAGGTCCACCCACTTTTCTCTACCTCCGCCCTCCCCTTTGGGAGAGACTCACTAGAGGACCAGCTTGGAGAGGGGCACACAGCTGCAATCCCAGCGTTTGGAGGCTGAGGCAGGAAGGTCTCCAGTTCAGTGGCAACCTAGAATACATACTAAGGCAATTGTGACGTCGTAACTCGTGATGGTGCTGTCGCAAGCCAGGAAAGCATAGTCATTCTACATCTCTGGTCACGTATTGCCCAGAGATTGGACTAGATAGCATCTTGATCTCCTTTGAGCCCTGTATTCCCAATGTGGACCTGGGCTGAATTTTCTGGCCAGTGAGCATAGTCCCAGCCATTCTTCACCAAAGATGTCCCCTCTCTCTGCAGGTGTTCTGGCCGTTCTCATCCCGCGCCTGGACCTGGTCATCTCCCTGGTGGGCTCTGTGAGCAGCAGCGCCCTGGCCCTCATCATCCCGCCCCTGCTGGAGGTGACCACCTACTACTCGGAGGGCATGAGCCCCCTGACCATCATCAAGGATGTCCTCATCAGCATCCTAGGCTTCGTGGGCTTCGTGGTGGGGACCTACGAGTCTCTGTGTGAGCTGATCCAGCCAAGCCATGGCGAGATCTCCACCAATTCCACCAGTGCCTTCCTATAAGGATCTGGGTGTGTTCCCTGCACCTGCCAAGCCCCCACCCTTGTGTGTCTCCCAGTAGTGTCCCCACAGCCTCAGGTATGGTTCAGCCTCTGGAGAAAGGCAAGGTTGCTGCCCAGGTCCATCTGGCATTGGACCCTGAGGTACCTTGAGTTTGGGGGAAGGGGGAGGAGCAGACATTCCACTTGTGATGGTGCAGTCACTGCTTTCCTCTTCACACCTCCTCCCTCAGCCCAGCCTCCCCCATCTGACCTGCCACACCTAAATTATTCCCGGCGCACAGCTCACTTTATTTACAAGGTAGTGTCCTGCTCCTGGCATTTCTTCCTTTCCAGGGCCAGGTCTAGATTAAATAAGTGGGGACTCTGATGTTTCACAAAGCCAGGCCTCTTTCTCATCGGGCTCCCAACTGCTGTGTACCTCACTCTCCCACCCAGCTGAGTCCTGAGAGGCTTCTGGACCCCCAAACCCACAGACCATACCACCGTAGCTCTCACTTCCTCTGTGTAGGTCACAATACTGCCCTCTTCATTCCTTTAGCTCTTAAAGATAATGAGATGCTGCCCAGATTGGAGGTATTTATAATTTATTTAAGCTTACATTTTGGGATCTGACTTCAGACCCGGCATCATGGTGGGTTACTTCTTCAGCAGCTTGCACTTGGCTTCTCCTGCCACAAAGAAACCTGCTCCAGGGGACCATGGTATACGTCCTTCACCCTCTTGGCTATGTGGCCTAGGGGCTATTCTTTTTGTTTGTTTGTTTTGTTTTGTTTTTGTTTTTCTGAGACAGGGTCTCACAGCACCAAAGTTGGCTTTGAACTTGCTATGCCAAGGATAACCTTGATCTCTTGGTCCTCCTACCCCTGCCTCAAGTATTGAGATTAGTAGCATGAGCTGCCCCGTCCAGCTGGCTCAGAGACCTTAAGTATGAGCATGCACCGCCTCTAGGAGATCCATGCATACATGGACTTCTGGATATGAGACTGAATCCGTATGGGCATTTGGAAGCACTTGTGGTGTGTTGGCTGAGACAGGGGTGTGGGTTCTGACTTTCTCTTCGTGACACTACGCACAAGGGTCATTGTTTACAGTTTCCTGGGGAGAGAGCAGAAGCCCCGTCTTGTCCCAAGCTGCCTCTGTATCCTGGGCTTCCAAGGAACCACTAAACACTATCTGTGACCTATCTGTGTCTCCTATCACACCTCCTGTAGAGTCACATGGCTTTTAGGTCTGTCACCTCGAGGTGGGACAGGATTTGCCTTGAACCTCAGTTTAGAGAAAGGAGCAAGAATTTAACAGGGTCTTGCTTTTGTGTTTGACAGAAGCTAGAAGGGCTGTGGCCTGACCTTGCAGCCAAATCTTTTCCTGTTGTTCTGTCCAGAACCTGTTGAGTGACTTCCAGGTCAAAGAATGGGAAGGGTGGCCTCTGACTTACAGCAGCATCTGGTCCAAGCAGTGATGCTAAGAGGAAGCATTGCTGTCTTGCTGGCCCTTAACCCTTAGGAGAGCAGTGTTTTTTACATTATTCTTTCTGCTCATTAGCATCTCCACAGGTGCTTACGCGGCTAGGTGCCAGCCAGGTTTCACAGATGCCTTGCTTTCTGAAGTCCCAGGCTGGAAAATGACCAAAGTAGGTTCAGACGCTGACCTATATTTCTGGGCTTGGGTTCCGGCAGCCAAACTGTGGGCCAGGCTCTCTCCTAGAGGTCACCTGAGCATGACTTCCTGAATGGAGGGACAATGTATTCAGAATTGTTGGAGGCACCCCTATCCAGATGGTTTGAGAAGTCAAGACCCAATGCACAAGCCCAGTAGTCATTTCAGGGCCCCTGGCCTGAGACCGCACGGAGTGCCTTCCTTAGCACTAGGCTAGGGGCAGCTTCCTGGGTGTGACCTGAGGCACTGGCAGTTTGGTGACTGGACTCTTTCAGGAAGATCAGGGCCTTTCTGGATGATACCAGGCAGCTGCTAAGCATGTAGTTCCAGGGGGAAGAGGAGGCAGGTCCTCGGCTGCACACAGCCTACGGTTCCCAGGAGCCCTGAGTCAGGCCCTCCTGGCCTCTCCTGCTGTCATTGGGGAACCAGATGGCCCCTAGTGAGGAAACACTCAGAAAAATGGAAGACTGAGTCAAGGCCAGATGCCCCAAGGGCAGACAGGCTGCCTGATCCTTATCAGCCTGGTCCTTGCCTGTACCCATGGTTCAGAGACCCATTATCCCAGACTTGAATGTGAGCACTGGCTGGGAAGAGTGTGATCCAGCCTGTGCAGCTCACCCTGCCCCAACTATAGTGGCATCTTTTGTAATGTGCTAATGTCTGGGATCAGGAGAAGTATGGGTTAGCTTAGGCCCCCCCACCTCACCTCTCTAGCCACACCTATGGGCAGGTGTTCACTGTCTGCCGTTCACCCATGGAAGTCATGGTTTAAGAGAGAGCAGTGGTCTGAAGGCAGATCCCAGGGCCTGTCCTTAGGCTCGCTCATCCTCAGATTTCTCCCCCTATTCGGTGGCATGTCTTCGGGCACTGCGGTTCCTCCTGATCTTCCCAGGAAGTATGGAGCTCCAATTGTGTTTACAGCACTCTGTCCTCTATGTACCTGGAGGACAGGGGTTTGCTTTCCCTACTGGCCAGCCCCAGCCACCGCTCCCATTGGGACACTGAGGGTTGCAGAGACCTGATATGGGAACCAGACAGGATGGTGGGACCTGGCAATCAGGAGGTGGCGCCAAGTCAGCTTTCGAATTTCATTTTCTAAAGTACATTACAAATCAGATACCATTAGGGGGAAACGAGCCGTCTGGCTGCCTTGGAAACTGTGGTCAATACTGAAGGCACTTTAGTCCTGCTGGTGGCGCCGGCTTCCACCTGGCCGGTTCCTTCCTTTTCTGTGTATCCTGAGTCATTCTCTGGCCAGGGACATTAAACCGTGCTCATAGGCAGTTATCAGAAAGAAAAAAAACGTGGAAAATGAGACTGGAAGGTGGCTGGTGTTCGCCCCGTGCTTTGGTTTAAATCAAGGTGATGTTGAAGAAGCTATTTTCTTTCTTTCTTTTTAATGAACAATAAAATCCTGTGTCTGTATTGTAACTGTCAGCGAATGTACGAATCAATGACCGAGAACGCTGCCATGTAGGATACGATAGCCAGACAGCATCGTGTCTCATGTACCCACCTATGTATGATTTCAGTAGGGTAAGCACACACATGTGGCTCATGTCAGAATGTCTAGATCTCAGTTGGGTTGAACACATGGATCTTGTGTTAAATTTCCACTTCAATAAATGAATTTATTTTTTATTTTTGAGAGGTTGCAATCTGTGTCCTTGTTTTCACACTCCAACTATCACTTGGAATAGGACCATCTGTTGGAGGGAGAGGGGATCTGAGAAAAGGTCTGGAGATTTTTTTTCAATCAAACAATCCTGCCTCCCTAAACCAAATTAGCATTCCCCTGGAATCCTGGGTAGAAATTTCCAATGTCTTCTGCATATACCAGTAGGTAGTTTTAGGTGTCAACTTGGTTTGGGGGGCACAATTGAGCCTAGGCGTTTGCAAATGTTAGTATCTACAGCAGTTGACTGAGTACAGATTGCCCTTGCTAGTGTAGGCAGCTTCATCTCGACTCTTGAACTGTGGCTTCCCTAAGGAGGAATCCTGTCTTAGGCCACAGTGTCAACTTCTGACCCTCCACAATTGACTGAGACCGGCCCACCTTGGGAATTTTACTCCTGTCTGCCACAGCCAAGCCAGTTTTCTGAAATCTGTGTTTGTGCATGCACGCTATCTATATACACGAAGAGTTTGCTTGCCCTGACTGAGGTGGCTACTGTTGCACCTGTACCCCATCACTGATGTCGCTTTTGGTTCATGGCTCTGTGTGTGCACATGGACTGAGTCAACCCCAAGGCCTCGAGACTCACACAGGCCACTGGCTGGTACAAGGAACTGCAACACAGTGGGTTTTGGTGCCAGAATTCAAGCGCTTCTCAAGGTACCTGCCTCTTCTCTTTGCTTACAGCCTGGAGGGGGTGTTTTAAGGGTAAAGGGACTAGCATAAAAAGATGAAAAGGTTTAGAAATATTTTTGGAAGTATTAGTTGGAAGAAGTTAAAGCACTTTACATGATGCACATCAAGGTGCATTTGTGTCTTGTGGTTCCCAGCTCTCCAGGTCCCTCAAGTTAAGCCTGTTGTTCTGATAGAGACACACATGTGGTGACAGAGAGCTGACCCTGGTTCTCTAGGTAGACAGCCACCCCTTTGGGGATGTACTTGGAGACTGGGAACCTTGAATGGTACGCTTTGCTAGACCATGGCCATTAGTCTCCTTCACCTTTCTTTAAAAGAAAATGGATTCTAATCTACATTAAGAAAAATTTGCCAGTTTTTGAGTGTACAACTTGATGAGTTGAGACATCAATAAAAATGTATAACATTGCCTTGGTCTTAAATGTTCACTCATTTGTTTGTTTATTGCCTATGTGGTGTGTGTGTGTGTGTGTGTGTGTGTGTGTGTGTGTGCGTGCAAGTGTGCATGCCTGGATTTTGGGCATCCTGCTTACTCCCTAGGGACAGGGTCTTTTACTGAACCTGGAGCTAGGCGGGCGGCTAGACAGATCCAGGGATCCTCTTGTCTCTGCCCCTGTGACGCTGCTGTTAAAAGCATGTACATGGCTACCTCAGGTTTTTCCGTGGGCTCTGGGGATCTGAACTCAGGTCCTCCTGCTTGTGCAGCAAGTGTTCTTACCCACGGAGCCAGTTCCCCAGGGCCAGCGTTTTGTAACCTGCCCCCTCCCCATAACCTCTGCTCTTGACCTTGGGGACCACACAGAGTTTGCCTTTTCAGTGGGAAGGGTAGAATAGTGGGTTGGGACTCTTTTTTTTGTCAGTGACAATCAACAGTTTTCTGTACAGCATCTTATTTAATATTCAGGTCTCTCACCTGATGTCTTTGCCCTGGAGATCCCTTCTTATCTGCCCTCCCTCCGTGAGCACAGAGAAGCCTCCCTGCCCGCCCCGACAGACCTGCTGGGTACCTAGGCCACCCCCACTGTGCTCTGCCCACACCCTGTTAGTCCTCCACGGTCTGTGAGAATGACCCTGCTGCCCACTTTCCCAGTCTCTGTTCCTTCTCATTGCTGGTTCCTGACCTAGCCGGCTGCCCTTGTCTCTGCTCAACCTGGGCCTCAACTCTTACCACCCAGACCAGCTGGCTGCTTGTCTCTGGAATCTTCCCTGGCTAGTTTGGTGGGAATTTATGGCTCCTTCCCCAGCTATGTGATGTTTTCTGATGCGCCTTATACTTACCTGTGCTAGGGAGCTGTGACTCCATCTAAACCTTCATGGTCTATAGGTATCTCAGCTGTAGATTCAACCAACTCAACCTAAGAAATACTAGGAAGAATTATACTTAATATTGAACATGTATAGATTTTATGGTTCCCTCACCTCTCATCCGCATGCTCTTAGATATGAGAAGCAGTCTAGAGAGGGTGTACAGTACGTAGGAAGACCGTGTAGGTTACAGGTAAACAGTCTAGAGAGGGTGTACAGTACGTAGGAAGACCTGTGTAGGTTACAGGCAAATAGCACACTGTTTTATGCAAGGAGCTGAAGCTTCCAAAGTTGGGTATCCTTGGTGGGCCCCAGAACTAATGACCTGGGGATAATGAAGGTCTCTGCACTTGGCCCCTTAGCTAAGTCCTAAACTGCTAAGAGCATGAATCAAGAGAGACAGCCTGCCTTCCTCATCATACGCCCCAGGGGTGAGCTTGTCCCTGAATTGGTTTGGGGACTCAGTGTAACCTATAGTGAGTGGTGTCCTGGACAGGCAAGTTGCTTTTATTATGTCTTTTAGTTTCATGTTAATCTCACCAAGCAGTTTTCTTGGCTGGGACCTTAGAGGTTTATTGGAGAATTTGAGAAAATACTGGGCTTGTCTTTGCCGACCTGGGTCCCAGAGGGCACTCCTGCATCTCAGGAGACAGCCCAGGCTGTCGGTCAACACCAGATCATTGCCCCAGTGTGGCAGCTTACTAACTCTCTGTGTCCTGCAGTGATAAATGACTGTCCTTTTGCCCTGAAGCAGTTGTGGGCCCAAGTTTGATGGGAGGATTGGTTCTGAAGGCCAGAGAGACCTCTGGTGGCCAATCTGGGAAGGTGCACGAGGAAGGGAGGGGTTTGGGTCTTTGTGTTGGGAGGTAGCCATAGTGCTACTCTGTGGACTTTGGAGTAAGGTCCAAAGTGTCAGTGTTTCCCAAACACAGTTCTTTTTATCCAAATAGGAATTTTGCTTGTGTTAGAAGAAAGTAACTGGTGGCCGGGATGTAGCTTTCCTGATGGAGGGCTGACCTGACATTCGGTCCCCAGTACTGTATGAACCCCGTGTGGTGGTAAAAGTAGGATGACCAGAAGTTCAAGGTCATCTTCAGCTACATAGCACATTCAAGGCCAGCCTAGGCTGCATGAGGCCTTGTCTAAAAAACACTTAAAAAAAGAAAAACAAAAAAATAACTCTTGGTGTTCTCTGTGACAGTTGCTATGAACTAGCTACCATTGCTATTTACAATGGTCAACCTTCACTGTCAACCAGGCTAGATTTAGAGTGACTCAGGAGACACACCTCTGGGCATGTCTTGGGAATTTCCGAAGTGGCTTAACTGAGGAGGACAAACCCACCCTGGAGATGTCTTTGAATTGATTCCCGATCCCATTGGATTGCCAATGTTAGCCATCACGGGAACCAGTGTGATACTATTGACTGCCTTTGTTTACTGAAAAAATAAGAAGCCCAGTAGAACTTTGGTAAGGAAGTAAAGGGAGTCACGGGTGCCGAGATGGTCTTCTCAACAAGTGGCACTGAAGGTTGAGTGCCTACAGCTAGAGAGCTGAGTGAGATTCAGGCCCATAAGTAAGGCATAAAGCTATGAAGGATATCGTAAAACCATAGACAATATCATTCAAAAAGTACAAAGCATCTTAGGTTTGACACTGACTTTGTTTTAAGAATCACCCAGGAGACATACTGGGCATGCATTTGAGGGGGTTTCCAAAGAGGTTTAACTGAGCGGGGAGACCCTCCCTGGCTGTGGATGGCACCATCCTGTAGGATGGTGTTTCAGACTGGGAATAGAACGGGGAAAGTAGAAGCCAGCAACACAGCAGCATTCTACTCTCTCCGCCTTCCCATCTGCCCAGATGTGTGCACCTGGGTAGCTAGGCACAGCACCAACTATGCCACACACGAGGGAAAGAATTGCTAAGTCAGACTACCTTAAAATAAAAACTTGCCATGTTTTGTAATGTGTGCTCTAATCCCAGTATTTGAGAGGTGGAGGCAGGAGATTCAAAGTTTGAGGCCAGTCTGGATTACATAGGTAAGTTCAAGACCAGCTGGGCTAAATGGTGAGCCGATCTCAGAGAGAAAGAGAGAGACAGAGATAGAGACAGAGACAGAGAGGCAGAGACACAGGGAGAGACAGAAAGGGAGAAATTTTCTATGAAAGACACTCAAGTTGTCATGTGAATGTTAAGGGAGGGGAGGCACAGGCTTGGAGGAAATATCTACAAAAACCTTCCCCAGCAAAGAACTGTTTATCCAAAATAGGTAATGAACTCTTAAAATTCAACAATAAGATAATACACAACCTGACTTTTAAAACTGGGCCAATGGCCGGGTGGTGGTGGCCTACACCTTTTTATTCCCAGCACTCAGGAAGCAGAGGCAGGCGGATCTCTGTGAGTTTGAGGCCAGTCAGATCTATAGAGTGAGTTCCAGGACTATTTCAGAGAAATCCGGTCTCCCAAAAACAAACAAACAAACAAACAAAAAACCCACAAAAAACAAAAAAACCCTGGGCCAATGACCTGAACAGTCATCTCACTAAAGGAGATTTAAAGATGGCAGAAAATAAACACAATGACTCTCTACATCATGTGCCGTCAAGAAAATACATATTTGGACAAATACCAAGACAGCATTGCATGCTTAGGAGAATGGCCCAGACTGAAGGCAGGGCAGTCATGCTGTTTGCCGTAAGGCTGTGGTGGACAGAAATGCTTCCTCATTGCTAGTAGAAATGCAAACAGTACAGATGCTTTGGTAGCTTCTTATAAAACTGAACCTACTCTTTATTATCTCACTTACAAACCAACTACACTCTGACATTTTCCCAAAGGACCTGAAAACCTGATGACAGAAACACCAGTTCATCAGGTTTTAGCAGCTGAAACGTGGAAGCCACTGAGAAGTTCTCCAGTAGGCAAGTGGATGAACCAACTGCCGTATCCGAATCATGGCTGTCAAA